TGATATTAATTTCCCTGTTTTCATATTCATACTTTCTAGATTTAAATTTTTTAACATAAATTATTTTTATTCCCTCATATGCTAAAATTATGTGCATAATACATGAATTTTGTGTGTAATTTGTAAAAACCAAGTGTATTAAAAATGAAAAATAAGTACGTACGGATAAAATGCGAGTAGTAAACGTGAAAATGCTACATTCTTTGTTCGGGTAATAACTCTGGAAAAGTAAAAAACTCCAAAGGTGACAATCGCGTACAGTCGCACGGCTATACTATTTCTATAAAAAAATTACAAAAGTCACAGAGTATAGCTGACCGGCTGTACTACTCCCCAAAAAAAAAAATACCACCTAGCGCCCTTCTAAAGATTAGTGCCCTTGTGTAAAAATTACTATAGCCGCGCGGCTATACTATTTATTTAAAAAACCTTATAAGAGAAGGACCCTTCTAGTTTCGTTTGTTTGTACTTTGTGATATTAATTTCCCTGTTTTCATATTCATACTTTCTAGATTTAAATTTTTTAACATAAATTATTTTTATTCCCTCATATGCTAAAATTATGTGCATAATACATGAATTTTGTGTGTAATTTGTAAAAACCAAGTGTATTAAAAATGAAAAATAAGTACGTACGGATAAAATGCGAGTAGTAAACGTGAAAATGCTACATTCTTTGTTCGGGTAATAACTCTGGAAAAGTAAAAAACTCCAAAGGGGACCATAGAGACTTGGTTAATCTTCTAATAGCATTGGATAATGCTCTAAACTATCGATAAACAAAACTAGGGGAAAAACAATTTTTTTTAAAAATCACTGTATCTATGTAAAGAGTACAGCCGAACGGCTATACTATTTCTAAAAAAAAAATTACAAAAGTCACATAGTATAGCCGCCCGGCCGTACTATTTACCAAAAAAAAAACAATCCCGCCTAGCGATTTGTGCCCATGTGTAAAAACAAGTATAGCCGCCCGGCTATAAGGTTTATTCAAAAAAACCTTATAAGAGAAGGACCCTTCTAGTTTCGTTTGTTTATACTCTATGATATTAATTTCCCTGTTTTCATATTCATACTTTCTAGATTTAAATTTTTTAATATAAATTATTTTTATTCAATCATATGCTAAAATTATGTGTATAACACATGCATTTTGTGTGTATTTTGTGAAAACCAAGTGTATTAAACATGAGAAATAAGTACGTACGTATAAAATGCAAGTATTAAACGTGATAAAGCTACATTCTTTGTCCGGGTAATAACTCTGGAAAAGTAAAAAACTCCAAAGGGGACAATAGAGACTTGGTTAATCTTCTAATAGTAATGGATAATGCTCTAAACTATCGATAAACAAAAATAGGGGGAAAACAATTTTAAAAAAAAATCACAATATCTATGTAAAGTGTACAGCCGCCCGGCTATACTATTTATAAAAAAAATTACAAAAGTCACAGAGTATAGCCGACCGGCTGTACTACTCACCCAAAAAAAAAAACCGCCTAGCGCCCTTCTAAAGATTAGTGCCCTTGTGTAAAAATTAGTATAGCCGCGCGGCTATACTATTTATTTAAAAAACCTTATAAGAAATGGACCCTTCTAGTTTCGTTTGTTTGTACTTTGTGATATTAATTTCCCGGTTTTCATATATAAACTTTCTGGATTTAAATTTTTTAACAGAAATTATTTTTATTCCCTCATATGCTAAAATTATGTGCATAATACTTGAATTTTGTGTGTATTTTGTAAAAACCAAGTGTATTAAACATGAAAAATAAGTACGTACGTATAAAATGTGAGTAGTAAACGTGAAAATGTTACATTCTTTGTTCGGGTAATAACTCTGGAAAAGTTAAAAACTCCAAAGGTGACAATCGCGTACAGCCGCACGGCTATACTATTT